GCGACAGTATCCCCCTTTTTCTGATTGATGATTGGTGGACAACCGTTGTGTCATGCATTAAAACATACCAGCATCATATTAAGTATACAGAGAGCGTTGAACTCATTCTGGAAATTGCGAATAATCCCCTTTTACGGGAGTTAGTAAGATCTATATGCGGCTATCATATACTAATAATTATACCCAAAAGTGTATTTTCATTTTATTTTAATCAAATTTGTATTAATACTGAAAATATTTGCTCTTTCAGACCTCTATTTGATAATTACTTGAAACCCTATTTCAATGAAAGACACAGACCTATTCATGAAAAGGATGTATTTATGGTCAATGACATGGAGTTTCAAGTTATACATACCGATCCATCGCCGTATTGTATTGTGACATCGAATACGGAGATATATTGTGATGGCCAGCTCCCAAGAGAAGTGGTAAATATATTTATAATATTGTGATAATTCCAAGATACACACTGAATCTTACAGTTGTGTGCGATATATAAGTTTTTTTATTGAGTGAAGTTTAAGTGAAGTTAAAATCTAAATGTTAACTATCGTTAATTAACATAATATTGCATTAATATTTCATACATACATGTATCCAACATTCTAAGGTCACTGTCAAGTTATTCAGAATTACAGCTAGTCGTACTTAATATTTGAAAACCATAAATTGACATATTGCCCGTTTAACGTGTTTGGATTGCGCAATACAGTTTACCAAAATTCATCACTGTATCGTTCAGTCTTGGTACTTTTTACATAATCATAATACAACTCAAAATAATAGAATTTTAGTTCTTCTGTAATTAGTCGTTGTTGGTCTGTAAAAGTGTGTAAATATTTGATGATTTATTTTAGGAAGACTACTATTCACTGGACAGAGTTGGATATGATGATATCGGTGGTTATACACAACCCATGCGCGAAGTCAGAGAAAACATGGCAAATGCATTGGCACCAAGAGGAGGAGTGTTGGGTAGAATGGGTGCCACGGTAATAATGTTCTATTCAATTGTAATTTTGTTATATTATTTTAAATTTTCTGTTGCATGCATTCTTACCAATCTAGATATCAGGGGTTTCAGATGTTCGTAATATGTGATGTTTGAACAATAATAATATTTATATGGTGCATGTGTTACATACTTTTTATGACCAATACAGATTTTGGGGTCGAAAATAATGAAACATTTATTGAGCCTGGTGATAATGACTATTGGAAACAAGGATCCATAGTATCAAAATGATTGAAATTTAACAAACACAAATATCAGTGCTACCTTGTACATACAATCGAACCTACAAATAATACCTGATTCTACCATAACTCGATTCGTTACCCCGAGTACACAAGGGGTGCTACCACTGTCTGTGATAATCGCTCAACATCGAAGGCGCATTTGACTTGTGTAACGTTATTCAATAATCAGCTCATTTACGTATGCTGATGTATTGTTATTTGAAGATCAGCTGTTAACACATGCTGTTACGTGTTTATTATTTATACTGTGTATAACTTCAATATAGCTATTTCAAAGACAACATTGTAATTGGAAATTCGATTCATCAGCATTTCTCGTCAAATCGTAAGATGATTTCTGATCACAAATTCTAGATTCCTTAAGAAACCGAGGGACCAAAGCTATAAATGAACTGTTAATTAATACTCGTCTATATCACATGTCAATTCTATTGTACCTTCAGCCAACATATGGAATACTATTAACCGGCCCTTCTGGTTCTGGCAAAACGATGATTGGTAAATCACTAGCGAATGAGACTGACGCTTCCATAATGTTTATTGATGGTAATTATATATTTGATAATTTTTTAAATGTCTAATTAAATAACATGTTAATAAGAAAAACGCTGTCAACAATTTTAAGCCACATTTCTTTTCAGGACCCGATATTGTGAGTAAATGTGCTGAGGCAGGAGTGTCTGTCCTGGAATTAGTGTTCATAGACGCTGAGAAAAACCAACCGTCTATTGTATTTATCGACGCCATTGATGGTTTAGCAGGAAAAGATGACATAGTAAGTAATGATGCGAAATGGATATATGTGGGTCACATTTTCGTGATTTCACTGCTGTGTTACATGATTTCGTACCACGTGCACATGCCAAACTAATATTTTCTTACAACACTACATGCTATGACATACTATACCACACTGCTTTTCACTACCATGTTGTTTCAGGCCCATAGTGATGTTCAAATGAAGTGTGCATCTTTTTTGGGAACCCGGATGGACCGAATACATAACAACTTAAGTCGCGTTGTGGTCATTGGCGCCACCGAAAATTCAAGTCGCCTGGATCCGAGGCTCAGAAGGTTTGGTAAGTGTAGTAATGTTAACCATAGTGCCACACACACACTACGTAGAGGTATTGGTGCGAATACTCGCAATGCTGTTTTGAATTGAATGAGAAGTGTACAAAATAACAGCTTGACAATAATTGAACGAAAATGAAAAATTCAAAGTCCCTGCAAAAATAATAAAATATACCTCAACCTGATTTAGAGAAAAAAATAATGAATCTGACCATGAATAGTATATTAACTATTATTATCAAAGTTCGTTATATGATGAACTGTATAAACAAAGTGTCCAAACAATACAAAAATATATCAAATGCGTAGGAAAAAACTGGCTAAAATTCTTGTAAAATTATACTACAAAATTAACATATATGCTTACAGAATCTAAATAACAAACCTTGGTGAGTTATTGTACATGTAATATATACGTTTTTAGTCCACATCTATGTATATGAATCACCTTACTTGCATAACAATTATGCTTCTAAATGGCCTTACTAAATTTGTAATATCGTTATAGGTCGTTTCAGTAAAGAGATACTCATAGGCATGCCTGATACTAATGACAGATTACGAATTTTGAAAATCCATACAAGAGAAATGAAGTTAGCTGACGATGTTGAATTGAAACAGGTATGATGTAATACTTTGTTATTCTATTGCTGGCATCCGATATCTGTCTTGATGCGTCGCAGTACTACTAGTATTAATTTTAAATCATCATTGTCATTTAAAATGTATATATAACTTAGTAGACCATGTGAAATACGAATAATAATTTATTTCTAATTTTAGGTTGCTTATGATGCACATGGATACACAGGTGCTGATTTGGCTGGTCTTTGTTCTGAAGCTGCCATGCACCACTTGCGTAAGAAAATGGGTTTACTACATGTACAAGATAAGAATGATGATTTGAAGGACCAGGAGGCCATGGCTGGTATAGGGAATCTAGAAACGGTATTTACGACACGCGTGAAAGACGTGGCACTAGTATAATGTTAAACTTTTATTCACACAAAATTGATAAACTTTATAAAATATAATTTTTTGTCAATACAGACACAATACATACTTAAGTCACCCTGGCAGCCTACTCTACCAAATGACTGGCAATATTAAGTCACTAAGATTCTAACTCTCAATATCGAGAGTATTTACAGTTATCCGTATATGCACAACCGAAGCATGTCGCCCAATTTCCTTCACAATCGTGCTGTACAAACACAAACATCACATTTCATTTCATTTCAAAACATTTCAATGTATCAGTAAGACTGATCAACACTAAATATTACATGTAGATTCACATCGATCACCCTATTATTCACAATTCGTTTTACCGTATTGAATTGTAGTTTATTCAATATGATCGCAATTTGTATTCTATATTAATTACAATTTCACACATGTTTCTTTGGCAAGTACTGCTAAATGGCAATGTCGATGTTTCAAAACAATCCTCTATGTCTAGTATTGAAACTATACACTCGATGATCAACACTATTACTAATACGCCGAATAGCGCTATACTTTAGCAATTCAAAACATACATTCAGTGAACTGTGATTATGGTAGTACATGGCAGGTTAATGAAAGTTACTGACAGTGTTGTACCTGTATAGAACGATCATTTAAAAATGCAGTCCAATACAATTTGGCGATTATTCGCTGCTCATTTGTGGTTTACCTGGATAGGTGGGATATTTTGTGTCAATATACAAATAATGATGATATTGGAACCTTGCACAAAATGTAACTGTGGTGCATTAATATTTGGACGCGATACCCACAACGTATTAACATTTCAATACATAACAACTTAATGAATGTTATTACAGAAACAAAATGAATTTAGAACATTAAATGATTTTTCTCCAGGTTGAGGTTGTCAGTGGCACACCTAGTACAGGATTTGCAGACCAATACGACATACTAGACGAGTTGGCTATGCAAATGCAAGCTGTTGATTTGAATGCTGAGAGTGCAACAACCATCAACAACCTAGCTATTACCATGAAAGACTTTCAAGTAAGATAATGTTTATTCACATTTGTCGCACACTACTAGGGCCGCTTTTATCATTTACATAATTCTGCCTAATACCTACTAATTATTTTTATGCAAATTTACAGTATGCCATGAGTAAAAGTGGTCCAAGTATTTTACGTGAGCGTGTTGCACAAATCCCCAAAATCTCATGGCAAGATATTGGAGGGCTTGAAGAAGTAAAAAAAGAGCTCAGAGAGTTCGTGCAATATCCTATCAACTATCCTGAACAATACGCGAAGTTTGGTTTATCCCCATGTCGTGGCATGTTATTGTACGGACCTCCAGGATGCGGCAAAACACTGCTAGCCAAAGCAGTAGCCAATGAATGCAGAGCTAATTTCCTATCTGTCGGAGGCCCAGAGCTAATGGCAATGCCGTTTGGACATACAGCCATGGACAACGTCAAAGACCTGTATAATAAGGTAAGATATTTAAGAAATAAACCACCGCCACAAGGGTGTATACCAAGAGATATTGCACAATTCACGGTATATATACACAAAACATAGGTCAGTGCATATATGTAGCGAATTGTGCAATATCGAGTGGTTTATCTGACTGCCGTGGGGGTTATTGTCATTATATCATACTATTTTTTTTTATTTTCCGAGGTTGTGAAATAACAACCATGACATATAATTGACAACCATGTTCGAATGTGATGCAGCATCTGAAACTTTCAACGTGTAACCATGGTTAAATGAAATGAGTCCTGGACAAAAATTAAAATACAGACGCCGATTAGCGTCGTACGCCCGATCACGTTCAAAGGATTGACACAACTTTAAAGTCTACGAGCGAGTCACTGCAAACGGCAATCATTCTTTTGGCATCTTTTTGGTAATTCCGAAAACATATTCTTCTCATGCTTCTTCTTGAAGCTTAAAAAATACCCAAGGGTAACAATGTTCCTCATTAAGAGCTATGTCCTTCGTGGAAAATAACACATTGCCGATTTCAGTTGAAATCAGTAGGATTTACCTATACCGTATGTTATACACGCTGGAGGCCTTCTTACCCACGGCTTGCATAATTAGATACACTCTCGGTTAATCAGAACAACGTATTAAGGCAATTGAAATGCAGATAAAATATAGTTGATATTTAACGTCAATATTGATTTCTTGCTTTTCAGCTAATTTGTCATTTTTATTTGCATATACTACGCACCGTGATGCTAGTGTCAAAACGTACACTAAAGAACATTTCATTTCATTATCATTTCATGTATATAATATGCATTGTGACATTAAGATAAAATTTCATTTCACAATATTTTTCTATTGGAAATGTTAGGCGCGTCTAGCATCACCATGTATACTATTCTTCGATGAGATGGACTCAATTTCCGCTAATAGAGAAGCCTCTGGTTACAGTGGAGCTGATATTATTGTCAACCAACTGCTCATGGAAATGGATGGAATAACTACCACTAGCAATGTATTTGTAATAGGTGCAACAAACAGGTACGTTCTTAAAACTAATTAGAATAATTGAAAAAAACATGGGGTTGTATATTACTAGATGATATTGTTATAAAGTTTGAAGATGTGTTTATGAACCGTTCTCCTAAAATAAGCATATTCTGACATGTTTAACAATTCTAACCTACTTTTTACAAAGTAGAGCTTCAGATACATTTATTATATACATTCCATTGCGTTGAAACTCCATAGTGTAAACCTTGTAGATGAACAATCTAATCTCATTCCACAGTGTAAACCTTGTAGATGAACAATCTAATCTCATTCCACAGTGTCACTAGATTATCCATATTATGTTTAATTTGTTGCAGACCCGACTTGATTGACAGTGCTATTTTGAGACCCGGTAGGCTTAGTCAACTTATTTACATTAGATTACCAGACGAATCGTCACGCTATTTAATTTTGAAAGCTATACTTCGACATTCACCGGTTGCTAGGGATGTAAATTTAAAGTTATTAGCTGTCCGCACCGAGGGATATAGTGGTGCTGATTTGGCCTGTATATGTAAAAGAGCTGGTCAAATAGCGATCCGAGAAAATATCGAAGCTGAAAAGATAAGAGAAGAATGGAGAGCTGAACAGCGTCGCCTCCGTAAGGTGAGTACTATACTGTATTTATCAATGAATTTGAAACGTGACTTTCAGCAGGAGAAACACGTTGTTTTTAGATTTAATAAATGCAAATTTAGTCAAAAGCAATAAGAGAATACCAGGATGTATGTTTTTAAAATTACCTATGTACAGATTGAGAGTAACAACTTACATTGAAATGCTTTGTAAATTATTCAGAAATTTATCGATGCGTGCCCAATCACCGAGATCAGTACCAGACATTTCGAGGAAGCATTAAGAGTAGTCCGGAGGTCAGTCACAGACAATGATATCAAATTGTACGAAAGCTTTTCGCAGAATCTTCAGAAGACAATGAGTGAGTTTGCGAATTTCAGGTCAGTAATTGTTGAATTCTAGTTTTCAGATATCCTGATAATACATATATACAATGCCTTGAATTGTATGCTGTATGTCCCATGTTATGTTGTATTTGGATGAATATATTTACTACCAGATTGTGACAAACACAATTGTATTATATCAAGTGATATCCCCTTCCATTTACAGCTTTCCAGAGAAAGAAGTCTTCACATGAGCTCGGACTTGTTCGACGTATACCGAACACTGACGAGGATCATTTACTCATTGAGAGCTGAAGATAGTGCTTACCATTTAGAGATTTGGAATGCCTTCCACTACACTGTAACCTTGTTATAATGAACACCTTTATAATAAATTTACTGATATGCATGTTTCCCGCTCATAACCAATCTAGTTTAGTGTGTGCTGTATTATAGTGAATACTTCACATATCAAACATAATGTACGTCCCACAAAGGGTTCGTTATAACGAGGTTACAGACTATTTGAAATAATCAACGAACATTAATGCCAAGCTAAGCTAATAACAGAAGTCAGTTGCGCCACCTTGCGTTACTAAAACTTATACCTTATCCCGGAATTGTAATTTATGTAATTGTATGGTGTGTTTTCAATTACTGATAAGCAATAACGATTTGGGACTGAAATATTAGTTTGGTGGATAATTAATTGTTTTGTACGCTTATCTTCACTTAATGAATATGAACGTCCGTACTTCTCAAGGTCGTATGACAGATGTTATTGGCTTGATTCTAAATTTCAATTTCTCTATTTGCCGTAATGTTAGTAACGCACCGCCACAATGATCGACAGCAGTCAGGCCGCTTTCAATCTGAAATTAGAAATTATTTAAACTCTTAGTAACCAAATTGTATACTAGTTTTGAATTCCGACCAGAACAACGGGAAACTGTGACTAAATCGATTAATGTATTAAATAAAGAAATATTACTACACATTATGAAACTCGCTGAATTGTCGCACGATGTTACTTAAAACAATTCCCCAGGCATTTCTGATTGTGAGAAATCAAACTTTGTACGCGGGAAAAAAATCACGTCATTGTATATCTGGGCAGTGAACCCAGTTTAAATTGCATAGACTAAGAGCAAAGATTACACCTGTCTTGGCAAAATACCGTTTGACTCATTGTCGTGAATCATGTACTAGCGACTTCTAACGTCAACGAGTAATACTGAGGCGTGCTACAAGAACAGAAGCATATATTTGCGTAAATATACGAGCACCATATTTTTACTTGAAATATTGTTTTTTCTTTCTCATTTATAAACTTTTATGTAAACCCATATAACCTTTTGTACTTTAGTATAATCTTTATACTTTATAGTATTGTAGAAATTGTAACTTTATAACATTTTATAATCACTTTAATTACAACTCGGTATAACCTCACTAACCTGAGCTCATTTCCGTTCGAGAATGTGATACTATAAGGACAGCTCGTACGCATGTAACAGTTGTTTTCACATGTTAAAAATCGTTTATGGTGAACAAACTTTATGTTTTCGATGCATAATATACCGAGTTATAATAATTTATTTTTATATATATCGTAACCAGGTACTTTACGTTCGTAAAAAATAAGGTGTATGTTATGTAGTGTAACGTTGCAAGGCCTACCCTAGACTGGCGCATCGGGGCGATTAATTTGTTTTTGTAGTTTAAATAAAATAAAATCGCGAAATGGAGGTGTTACCGCGAAATTATCCCGACTG